CAATAAATTTTTGGGAAAAACATCCAAGAAATCCTTAACCACCTCAATCTCTTCTAATTTTAGGCTCCCCTCCTTTTTATAATCAATTATGTTTACTAGGTAGCCCATACATCTACCTTTTATCATCTTCTAAGCTGTCATTGATGAAACTATCGTTACGAGTCTTACCTTAGTTTCGACTTGTAACTCAACTAATTGCTCACTCGATCAATGAAATATCACTTTCTCAACTAAACGAGTCAATCAAAGCTTCATTTTTAGATAAGCAATCTATGCCTAAAATAACATCATAGTCTTGAATACTCAAGACTATGAGATGAATATATAAAATGTGATTTCCAATTATCTTAACGATCCTTAATTATAGTATTTGATTCCAACGACTCTTTAAATGGGAGTGCCACTTCATAAATAATATTTAACACTTCGAGAGTCAAAGCTAATCTTCTTCACAATGATTGCATAATAAATGAATGTGTGGCACCTAAATTTACTAATATATATGCAGTAAGATTAGAGATTAGTAAATTACCGTATAATATTAGCATGCTCCTAATCCGCTCTTCTTGTGTCATCGTGTAGAGGTCCAAGAACTCTTTGTCCTTCAATTAGTTTCTTGTGTACTGCAGATAGTTGGTAGCCAAATATCCTAATTTATGGTAAAAGTAGCATACGTTCATGCTAATCAAATAATCTGTGACATGCGAACGATCACACTTAGTGCAATTTTATCCGCCCCAATCTCTTGTCCTTTGTGGCCTCACTCGCCTTGTCCTTTTTTTGTTACTTTAACACCAATTTTTGATTAAAGGATATCTTTTTATTGGATTGGCCTTCAAATTTATTTGGAGTAACTCCTCTTTTAGCCCCTAGTACTTACATCTATTCCTTCGGTCAATCTCAATTTCAAATGCCTTTCTCACCATATCCATATAAGTATCCGCATACTAAACTTTTAATCTCCATTTTCGAGTCCACGGAGAAAATGCTTTTTTTTTATGCCTTTTTTTTTGGAAATAAAAGTAACAAAGTGGCAACCAAGCTCAAATCTACGAGCATACTCCATTACCGACATATCTCATTGGACTAGTCTGTAGAAATTATTGGATTTTTTTAGACTTCATCGTATCCGAAAAATACTTCTTATTAAATACCTCCTTAAATCTATTTCACGTGAGTTGTGGCATGTCAAGGGCAACTCTCACCAACTCTTACCAATTTTGAGCATCACTAACCAATATAAAAGGTCGCACATGCTATATGATCCACATCATTTACGACCAAGTGCTCGAAAATGACTTTTAGAGATTCAATCCATTCTTCTATAATGATGGGATTCGGATCGTCCTTAAATTCCTTTGGATTAAACATTTGAAAGCACTCCACCACTTTAGCTCGCTATGGCGGTCGTGCTTCAACCAACCTATATTGTTATATTTCCATTCACCTTAGCATTTGTTCCTCATACCTATTCTATTGTCATTCCATCATCCTTTATTACCTTTTAAGCATCTCTAATAATTCCCTTTCTCGATCCGAAATCAATCAGCTCGGACCCATGCCACTATTAGTATTATTATTTTTAACCCTTTTTACGACATCCTTTCTCTCTCTTCAATTCATGTATATAAACAACGTAAATTAAATCATTCAATTAATTCTTTAAACATTTACTTTAATCATATCATTCACAGTTAACATTCATATTACAATCACTTATAACATTTGATTGCAAGCAAATCATTCATACACCTAGTATTCAAGTATAACTATTTATCACAATAAATTATTATACCATTCGCATTTACCGAGCAATCATAACATTTCGATCATCAAACATATTTGTTATCGAAGTTCGTCTCCCATGTACCTTACTTACGTCTTCCTTTCATCCTTTGGTAAAATAATGCTCCGATATCATCTTGTAACACCCCCGACATAGGACTTAAATAGGTTGAGGATATTATCGTTGTGGCCCAAAGTGAATGTAAGACATAAGGCACCATGTCCTTCTTATCGTATTATTAATTATGGTTTTTGCTGTGAAAGCTTATTAAATAGTTAATTGGTCCAACTTTGGTTATGAATTTATCCTAAAATGCACTATTAAATTTTTCTCGTTTTAACATTTTATTTTAATAGTTTAGATTAAAATAATTTGATTCATGTCTTTTAGTTTCGTCAAATTATTTTTCTAGAAGATAGAATAAATCTATCTAGACTGGTACCATTCCATGTTTCAAAAGTGATTTTACATATTTACAAGCCTACTCTTCCTTTTATATGCTAACTATCTAAACTCGTTTACATGGTCACTACCTTTATCATCATATAAACAGAGTAGTCATACCAAATACATATACCAAAATATTGAAAGATTAACAACACGATCTTGTGTAATAGATCTAACTTGCAACCACAAGTAAGATACATCTTGCGGATCGACGGGAGAGTTCCTTCGGTAATAAGCTCTAGCGGGAACATGATGATTTTTTTTATTCTTCACCCCTACATTACAAAACCTAGATGAGCTATTGCTCAATAAATTAATTATCCATATTATGCACGTATGTAAGTATGCAAGTGAATGCACTTTAAAATTCTTTTGACAAAGACAATAGAAGCACAAGGGAGATGACTAATACTCTTCAAAACGGATGGTAAAGTTCGCCAAGATGCTATTTCTACATTTGGTTCTAAACTTTATGTTATTGTTAAAATTAGCATATTTGAGTTTCTAGTCTTTAATTTGAAGAGTATATATTTATATTTTTTGGGTGAAAAATAAACAAACAAATATATATTTATTTTAATTTTGTGGCGTCCGGACAAGTCGTATGAATATTTGGTCGCGTCTAGTTTAGCTATACAAAAGAGGAAAGAACAAGGGGTGTTCACTATTCAGGTGAAAATCGAATAACCGAACCGAACCACACTCGAAATATCAATTTCGATGGGATTTTTTTTTAGAAACTAAAAAAAAAACCCGAACCGAAATATAGTCGGTTTTCAATTTCGATTTCGGTTTTTTTTTTAATTCGGTTAAAACCAAATAATCGAAATTATTAATTTTTTTTTTAAATTCATTAGTGAACGACGCCGTTCATTCCAATCCTCACACCCTCACCTTACCGTCATGCAAGCCTAAGCTAACTGGAGTTAAATCAATTAGCCTATAACCAATTCTTGTTGCATTGATTACATGAGCCCAATGCCAAATGACCATAACCAATTCTTGTTTATAATTGCCCAATGAGGTACATAATTTCTTTCTTGATTCAATTTATAGTTTTAAAAAAAAGATGTGAGATAGTGTTTTTTTTCTATGTGAAAGAAACTAGTTAATTTATGGACCTTTTTAATAATTAGTATGTCTCTTTTTAGTAAACACATATAATTTAAAATTGCGCTAAAGAAAGTTGAGTGTTTAAAGTTTTAATATTCTTCATTGTTCAAAAACAACATTGCCATTTAATTAGCAAAGGTTATCTTATGACCGTAGTGTTTAACAAGTTATCTAAAATTATTAGTTCTAATTACATCAAGTTAATTAAAAGTGTCTTTCATAAAGACAAATAAGTCATTTATATTTCAGCTTCAAAGCATACTCGTTTCTTTTTAGAATGAATTGTTAAAATGTCTTAATTGTAACACATATTTGACGGTATTATCTATTGATATCGATAAACAATAACGTATATTATGTATTATTAGACTTTATATATATATATATATATATATATTAGTAATGATTATTGAGGAGTAGTAAAATAATACTAAATAGACAGAGTTTAATGAGATTGAAAAACGTATACATATAGAAACATAGTCTAAACATCACAATGCAAATACTAAATTTATTTTTTCGAAAGTGTATAATCCTTTCAAAAATCAAAAGTATAGATAATTATAGGTGAAAACCGAATTACCGAATAAAAAAACTGATATATTTCAAAATCGAACAAAAAAACTGAATAACAATTCAGTTCGATTTTGGTTATTTTTTAGACAATTCGATTAATCAAAATTCGATCAAATAAGTTCAAAATCGAACCAAATTACTGAACGAATACTCCTAGAAAGAACCCCTTTTATTGTCTGACATGAATGGGAAAGCTTTAGTATCACCATTCACATGTCCTCAACTTATTGGTTTTATTTTAATTTTTTATTTTTTCCAGTAAAAATATTATCATTTTTGGCTAAATGTAAATGTCCGGACAAGCTGTGAGCTCGTAGAGAGGGACCTGGTGGGCTCCACCTAAGCGAGACTAAGAGCCATTATTGAGACGCTTTAATTTATTTATTTCGATATCGACAAAACTAAAGCAGTACTCTGCTGCTACGTTCGAAATCGACAAAAACTAAATAAAAATTGGTGTAAGGGAATCTCCAACACAACCAGATTTTGCAAACATCTAATTTTCTATACGAAATTTCACAGTTCAACGAGATAAAGATTTGTCTTTAAATTCAAATTCTACAGAGAAGGATGATGGGGAAGAAGATGGCGCTGAGGAGGTTGAGGTGGACTGTGATGGGGCTGCTGATGTGGAGGTTCTATTGGATGATCTCAGTCCTACTCTTACCGAATGTACAGCAAGACTATGGCAAGAGTTAGATGTTAACTCCCATTATTATGTAAATTTTTTCATTCAAAAGGTTTTTTATTGAAAAAATTATTTTTTCTTTCTCATTGCTTTGCATTATTGTTGTACTAGTGTGTACAATTTTTATGTTTGATTATGACATGTACACATATCCCATTATTTTTTATTTAATTATTTCTGCTGTAATATTTGGGATTCCAAACGTTTAGAAGATTGTAGCAACAAGATGATTTTCTTGTGAAATGATAAAGCAACAAAGAGGAGAGAACATGAAAATTAAGCAAAACCAAAAGCTAAGGCTTGGTGTTTATTTATGCCCAATACATGCATGATAGTAGGCAACGGAGCTCCTCTGTACAGGATTACAGTAGATAATAATACTGATCAATATCATTCCGACACCTTCTTATACTCGATTTTAGGAACTCCAAACAGATATGGCTCAAACGCAAAAAGAACTGGGTTGGCATTGGGAGTCAAGTAGGTTACGTCGTCATTATCGGCCAAATAGCCAAGTTCGAACCTTAGGCGTTTATTGAAGGCCTCACTCTTCGGGTAGTAAGAAAGCTGATACAATCCATCATTAGCTCTATCCTTGGTGATCTTAAACTGCTTCAAAGGCCCCATACCTCCGGTGGTCACAATGTATCGATCCATACCTGGTTTGTAGGAAACCTTCCACATCGTTGTCACGTCGCCCCTCCTACATGTGGGTACTTCTAAGTTGAAGTTCACGTATGTGTCTTCGTAGATGACACTGTCGTTTTGTACTGGTGTAATTCTTATTGAGACCTTATCGAAGATTGCTGAAAGTCTAACATCTGGTGGGCACATACCTTCGCTAGAGACGGCAAGAGGAGTTGTACTGCCAGCTGGAAAGGCTCTGATGAAATAACTACCACCAGCTTCAAGCTCGTTACCGAAGCTATCGACCACTGCTTCAGGAACTTTAGCCTGAATGGCCTCAGGAAAAGAAGAAGCTGTGAAGGCAAAAAGAAAGAAGGAGAGCACTAGAAATTTAGTTATCTTCATGGTTGAATATTAAGATCAGTTATCCCGATAATGTGCCTTGTCTGATGTGTTGAGAAAGAATGCGTTGAGAGCCGAAATTTATTGAGCAAGGATTTGGAGTTTAGTCCAACATGTGCTTTTGAGTTGTACGACACATTCAATTAAATACATACCTGTAAAAAAGAAAGGAAAAAAAAAAATCCATGAAGGTGAGAGGGAGTGTTTTGTCGGTAATGAGTCAGATTTGATCGCAAAGGAAAGACCTTCCCACGATAATTTTCTTGCTTCCCTTACCCCACTTTGATACGAAAGAAAATGCACATCACGAGCATTTATTTCTCCAATATGGACCATGTATTTCACCGATCTTTACCCAAAAAAGTTTCAGCTACCATGATGAATTATCAGAAAAACAAAACACAAAAAAAAAAAAAAAAAAAAACTTTGTGAGTTATTGAATTTTTCAATTACGTAAAAACATGGAGAAATTTAGCTTGTAATGAAAACACTATTCCTCTAACTTGTTTAAAGAAAACGAAAATTCATTATTTCTCTCACTCTCTTTTTTCCTTAACTTTCCTTATTGCAGACAGAGCGTTAAAAAAGACCAACAAAAAGAAATTCAAAATTTATTAGCATTAAACATTAAATCTTAAGAGTCCTAGTATTTTAAAGCGAATAAGAAATTTTACCAAACATATATATATATATGTTCACCATGCTACAATGAAAAAATTGATTAATGTGAAAAAAAAAACATCATATTTTTTTATCGTAAATGGATTTAGATGGAAATACGATTGTATTTCTTAGTTTTAGTGTGGTTCCCAGCTGCACACAAAAACACAAAAAACCATAGCTATCTTCAATAAACACATATAACTATGATATTAGTTGCTGCTTGATATCAGACGAGATTTTTGAAAAAAAAATTAAGAATTTAAGATCTTTATGAATTTATTTATAAATTCTGAGAATATGAGTTATCATTGATTTTGGGAGTCACCATTTAACATTGAAGGAATTTAAAACCTAAAAATAGCATTGATCCAAAAATTATGAGGAAGGAGTTGGTTACGTCTTTTAAAAGATATCGATTACTTATAAACGTTCTTTTCCAACAACGGTCCTTAAAAATTAAGAGATTCGACAATTCATCTACCTATTAATTACTTAAACTAATTATTAAAACAAAATTCTAAATTAAAATAAACTAATATTCCTTTTTTTTCATCATTTTTTTTTTTGTCGGTGGGAAATTGTCATCAATCTTTTAAAAATAAGAGACTCTATAATTCATCCGCTTATTAATTACCTAAACTAATTATTGAAACAAAATTCTAAAATTAAAATTAACTAAATAAATTTTAAGAGATCTAAATTAAACAGAAAATAAACATGCATAAATAAAAATCAATTTAAGATCAATTTATTTTAAAAAAAATGAAATTTAAACATTTGGGCTTTTTTGTCAGTGGGTCGTCGGCCCATATGGGCCGGGCGCACTAGACTGGGTTAAGGCCAGCCCAGGCTAGATGCCAAGTGGGTTGGACTTGGCCCAAACCACAATTCCCATTTTTTTCTCTCCTGACCAAACCCAAATCCACAAACAGGTACCAAATTCGTTTCCCTTTCATTTTCTATAAAGCCCGATCTCTCCCCTCTCTCTAGCTTTCGTTTCTCTTCCACCTCTCTATCAGAAAGAAACCTAGAAAGCTTCTTCCCGTCCCTCATCTCCTGCACCATTCGAAACCAACAAGCTTCTACTGAGATCGATATGATCTCATCGTATGAACCCTTTTTCTTTTTCTTCCTCTAAGAATCAAGCCCCAATTCCTCCACCTCTCTCTCGTTCTTCACCCATTCATTCTTTGTCTTCACTCATTCAGAAAACCCAGAAAGCTTTCCCTTCTTTCCTCAAACATAAAAAAGGGAGGGTTGCATGTTATATGATGGCAGTGACATCATTGGTTCGTGATGATGAAATGAATCAAAATGAAAGGGGGTAAGGGGATTACCTGAATCGGTCGGTCGAGAATGGAACGATGGCGGTGAGGAGGGAGTAGCCTTCTACTCGTTTCCCCCAACTGTTCTTCTTTCGACCCAGTAACCCAGAAAACCTGCATCTTTGCTTGGAACAGCAGACATTAGACAACAAAACACGTATAAAGGAATTTGAACACTTACATATGAAACTTTGTTTTGGACATTAAACCTAAATTTAGAATCATTGAATCATCAAAAGGTACTATAATTTGCTCCAAACATCTCTAACTACTTAATTATATTTGATTTTTAGAGAATAAAATAAAAATCATATTCTATGATATCATATGATTTTTGCAACAAAGAATACAACAATGAAATGGTGAGAATAAAAATGAAAATTTTATTATTATTTTATAGGTGTTTAGTTGAAAGAAATGAAAAAAAAAAAAAGAAAATTTTATTACTATTTTATAAGTATTTGGTTGAAAGAAATAAACGAAAAATAAAAATAAAAATGAAGATTATACATTATTTCCTTCTCACGAAAGAAGTGGAAATAAAAATAAATAAATGAAATTGAGATTTTTTTAAAAAAATAATAATATATATTTTTTTTATTGTGTATTAATAATTTTTACCACTCTCACTATTAATACCACATCATTGTTGCCCATGTTTTTGAAATTATTGTTGTTGTTGTTTATTGTTGTTATTATTATTACTATTTCATTGCTAATCTTCTACCATTATTATCATTTTTATTATATAACAGCCACCACTATTTTTTTTTCCACTTCCAACTCATGGTAACATTAATTTTTATAAAAATATATTATTACTATTACTATGCTATTAGTACTATCACTATCACTATCACTTTCTCCTTCTCTCTCACCACCATGCACAATCATTTTTATTATTTTTACTATCAATATAATTGATGAAATTATTTTTTTAATTGTTATTATCATTATTTATTTTAAAATTTAAAATTTTATTTTGATTGTTTATTAATATTTTAAGTAAAAATATCATTATTATTCTTTAAGTTTCATTCTAATTCATGCATTTTTATTCCAAATATTTAATTTCTGATAATCAAACTACACCTTAATATTTAAATTGAGTTATTTTTTTATATGACATATACTATAACCCTTTTAATTAAAGTGATCAGTAATTCAAAAGATAGGTAATATTATAACTGTAGTTGTGGCTATTTTGATTGTTAAAAAAAAAAAAAGGTAATACGTGCCATTAAAATGTTTGTACATTAAATAAAACTTAAATTTTTCATTTTGTAACTCCTAGTTTTTAGCTTCCAAAATAACTTTTAAATCAGTTTAGAATTTTACCAAATACTTTTTACAATAGCCTTCAAAAAAAATCTCCCAAAAAAAAAAAAAAAAAAAAAAAACCCTACTTGCCAAATAGGCACTATAGCTGTTGATTGGTTGGTTGGGCCTCCAAGGACCTACAACATTGGATTTTGGTGCTTCTCTTGGACCCTTGCCGTTGCATTTTCCTGTCCTTTAGTTATGGTCAAGGGGCATCTACCCCCACAAATTAGAGCCATCAACAATTATATGTAGAAGCCGAGACATCACCTCTTTCCATGCTTTTGTGTATTAGATTACTTTGGAATGCAAGAATGTTTTGTACACCATTGCTTTAATCAGAATATTAAGGAATTAAATAATTGAGGATCCATGATTTTTCTTTTTCTTTCCTTTTTCTGTTTCTTTTTTACCTTTCCTTTGTCTCCACTAGGCCAAATATTCTTTAGTTAGCCAGGGAGTTAGAAGATTATTCTGATGAAACATTTCCTACTTACCACTTAAAATTCATTTCACACATATTTCTGATTTGATGATGATATTCTGCAAGTTGTGATGGATTTACATTTTCCTTGCATGTTCAGAAATTTGAGTTTGGGATTTTAACATTACTTGAAAAAAATTTAATCTTAATTTACACCAAACTAGTTCAAAATATTTTTTACCATCAAATAAAAAAATTTAATGTCATTTCTAGGTAAAAAAGAAGATGTCATGTTTAAGACTAAATTAAGTAAATTAACTTTTAAGTAAAAGTAGCATATCATCTTAATTAGAAACTATGTTTAAGCATAATCATGACTTTGTGGTTGCACAAAATCGTAGTCATCCATGCCATTCACATCTAATTAATATTATAAATAAAAAATTTTAATTTCCATAATTAATGATATTTAATTAAAATTCAGGATTTTATAAGTGAATTTACTCAATTATAATAGTATTGAAATATTTTATTTATATTATTTAATGTACTGAAACATGTTAGTTATTTATATTGATGAATTAACATCATTACTTATTTGCTTTTCCTTTTTTCTTTGTACTTTTTATTAACAAAGATACACAATAATTGATAAAAAAAAAAAAAAAGGGGGAAAAGAGAACAAAAACAAAACACATATCAAAGCTTTTAAGAGTTAATATGGATGCACATGTTCTTTCTTATCTTTAGGAAATAAATAAATAAATTAGTGATGCACATAAAAAGCAAATCACATGGTATTATTTAGAATTATCTCCCAAAAAAAGACGTTCCCTCCTCTTCAGGAAACTACCAGTCAGGTGGCAAGACATCTCTTGCAGCTCTTAAAACAATAAAATCCACTCTCTCCACACAATCTTTCTTTTCTGTCAAAATTTGTGGAGGCAAAATAAACCTTTTTTTTTTTTAACTATTTGCTTACGACTCCAAATAACTAAATAAATCACAAACAATTATACACACACACATATATAATTTTTTGTTCCCAAAAGCAAACTTAATATAATTTCAAAGTTCTAACCTTAGAAAATAAAGAATCTTTTATATGGTCTTAACTTAATAAAATGACACTAATAAGTTGTTGAGTCAATGATAAACGAATTGATTTCAAAAAGTGAATTTTTCATCGATATGTGGGATTAATTTTAAAACTGTACTTATTATGAGGGATTAACTTTTATTGCTTTAATCTCTAAATAAAATTAGTTATATATCTAATATAAGATGAGAATATTCAAAAATAAATAAATAAAAATAAAACGTCTAATTTTTACTTTTATTTAAAAAAAAAGATTATCTATCCTGAATAAATTAGATATTTTTTATCAATAATTCAGAAAGACATTCACAAATTTTTATCCTTTTTTTTTTAATTTATAATAAAAGTATCTTTAGACTCAATCAAAACTAAATTTGGTACAAATTTTAAGTATAAACCCCATATATGAATTAGTAAAAATTGTGTGTTGCACGGTTTAATTAAATCCCACTTTTGTACCTAAAAAACCGTAGTATTTTAAAGCACAGCATCCATGTGCCAAAATACGCTATAAAAAAGAGAAAATTATAAATTAATTCTTCTAGTTTTTCAAAATAAATTGATTAGTCTTTTTAATTTAAAAATATAATTAATCAGTCCTTATATTTTCACATCTATTTGCAACTTAAGCTTTTTTCCTTTTTTGTAATTTATTTTGAATTTCTAAGAAATAGAAAAGAAAAGAAAAAGTAATAAATAAGGAAGGAGTGATGAGAAAATAAAATATTATTTAGAGTAAATAATACTTAATTAATTATTATAAAAACTAATTAAAGAACTAATTATTTTAATTTATTTTACAAAACTTGAAGGATTATTTTATAATTTACTCTTCTAAAAGAATATATTTTTGGCCAAAAAAAACAATTAATTAAGCAGCATCCAATTCCATTAAAGCCTTTGTTCTTTCCACATTATGGAGTACAAACAAAACCATCTAAATTTTAATTTAATCACAGCCATAGATTTTTTTTAGCTATAAAAATCATAATCACAAAGTACAAAACACAAAAAATCTTAGGGTTAGCCAAGTTCTAAGCTTTACCACATGCCTCTTCCTTAGATCAAATCTCACCTTCTCAAGGGAAAATAAAAATAAAAATAAATAAATATTTTCCAAATTTTTATTTTTAATAACGAATTCTGTTTATTTTGTTAGCTCAAGAACAACCCACAACAACAAAATAACAAGACTACCTTTTCTCTATTGCAAAAAAGACTATTGTATTTATCAAAACCTGGCTAAAGAAAGGTAACATCTTTCTCCTTCTTCTTTACTTTTTTGGGTGTTAATTGCTTTGATTTTTGTTTTCTCAAAATGGGTTCTTTTTGTTTTTGTGTATTTCCTGGTTTTGATGCATATAATTTACAAGTTTGTGGAGGTGGGTATGTTTTTTGTTGGAGAGGATGAATTCTTTTCGCTTGTTTTTGAGCTGAAAGTTAATTCTGCATAAAAATTTTGTATTCTTGAATATATGGGAAGGGATTTGTTTTTATTTGCTTATGGATAGAGTGGCCTCTCGTTTCTTTGAATAGCAGCAATGTCTCTGCTTCATTAGGTTTTGTTTTTTGAAATATTGAAATTTGTTGTGGTTGGTTCAAGCTTATTGGCTGCTGCATTGGATATATGTGATTGCGTTGAGGAACGATGGCTATAGAGTTTAGATGAATGATATTCCTTAATTTGATTCTTGTTTAGAAACCATGCTTGAGAAAGAAAGCTTCTTTAGATGCTCTCTTCTTTTTTCTTATCGCAGCACAAAGTTCAATTTCCCCATATTTGCCTGGTTTGGTTGTAGCAACCCAATGTGGATCTTGAAGTGTAAATGGTTATCATGGTTATCAATTGTATCACCCCTGTAATTTTATTTATTTATTTATTTTGTTGTGGGTGGGTTCCTTGTGTAAATATGCAGGACATTTGTTTGAACTTTTTTCCTTATTTTCAGGCCAGCATCTGTTATGCATAATAGAAATTGGGTTTTCCTGATTGGCAAAGATTCACTCTGGCCGCTGCAACAAATTTAAAGTATTCTCACACCTGTAGCAGGGTGTGGGGTGAAAACGAGGGTGTGATATTTCTTTGTGTTTTAAGGCGATCGAGATCATCGCATGTTTGGAGGCTGTGCCGTGTTTCGGAGGGCTTGTCTCTTGATTATGGCTAAGGTTTGCTAGGTTGCTGGAAGCTTGATGGTAGTTGAAGATAAATAAGTTAGCTAAGTGAGGTCTTTGTTCTGGGCTTCTTGGAGTCTGGACAATAAGTAGCAGAATAGTAAAGTTGTTTTCTGATAGCATTCTTTATGTAATTCAAGTTTAGGTCGATTGTGGATGTAGCTTCCATTAGTATTATTACAATGGTTAGGTTCTCATGCTTCAATGCTCACATTCCTTCTCACAAACCAAAGGTATGTGGAGGAATCACTGATTTGGAGTTAGAATCTTTGTTCTTATTGTTCCATGGCTTTTCTGATCAGAGTTTTTGTTTCTCCTTCAGAAAACAGCCCAACCTTTGACATTGACTAAAGCTTCAAGCTTAATCCTTCCGAAGGCACAAGCAGATACTCAAAGTAGTATTGGAGTCAGGGATGTTACCAGCACTGATGTATCTGTTGATCAAAGCTGGAAATCGGACAAGATTGAGAACAAAATGAATGATAAGAATGACATAGGAGCCCATCAGACAAGTCTTATTAGGAAAAGTCAGTCTCTAGGAAGTAGATTATGCCATGAGGGAAGGGTTCTATTTGACAATGATACTGAGGAGGAGATAGATCAAGGAGTCTTTAGTGATTCCCTTGATCAAAATGGGTTACTTAGACCAGAGGGCAGCAAGGATTCAGGACTAAGCGCAACTAGTGAGCATGAGAAAGCTCTGCAACTAGATTCTGTTAACATGAGTTCTGAATTTGTCAAGAAGGAATGCATATTCTCAATTGGTGATACTCAGCATTCTGGAAAGGAAGGCCCTGAAAATTCTGATACTCCATTTTCTGGTGAAGGTATATCTGGTGACCAGTCACCTCACAGCCATCCCATCATTCAAAAATCATGCTCTTTTTCAGACCTGGGCCCTTATGCACCAACTTTCGATGGATGTTCGTATGAATATTTAGCACCTCAGTCAAGATCTTCTGAGGACCTACATGCTCTAGAAATGAGGTGGAAAACGATTTCAATTCCAGGTGATGAAACTCAGGAGTTGAAAGAACAAGAAAGGGATGATAACTTGCCTAAAGCTGAGGAAAGCAATTTCAAAAGTTGTCTTGATGAAGGTTTTGACTTTTATAATTACTCAGCTTTGGCAAAGGACTGGATAATGCCAGTTACAGATGAAGTGAACTTGGCGAAAAATCTCCAAGGGGAATCCTCCACTCAGCAGTGGGAAGAATTACCGAGTAAGGATTTTAAAATGAAGCGTATACAGGACTGGGTAAACAATCTTCAACACTATGGTTCTTTGGAAGAAACAAATGGATTGCCTGATACTGATGACCCAATTAAGGGAGATTCCAATGATTTGACTTCTTCAAAGTTTGATAATAAGGACACTCCTGGCATAGAAGCTGCTAAAAAATACGTATCTTCTTTGAGTATCTCTGCTACCACAGCTCATCTGTCAAACCATGGGCTGGCAGTGATCCCATTTCTTAGTGTATTTGGTAGCTTGAGGGTGCTTAATCTATCGGGGAACTCTATAGGTTTGCCTCTCCAGCTTCATCTCATTTTATTTCTTTCATTCTTTTTTATGTGCTTTAGTGGAATAGTCTTGAACTCACTTGAAATTTGTGCTTGATATTTAATTGTTTCTTATACCATTTGCAGTAAGAATAACGGCCGGTGCCCTCCCTCGAGGACTTCATATGTTAAATTTGTCAAGAAATAATATCTCCACCATTGAGGGTTTACGTGAGCTCACCCGACTTCGTGTACTGGATTTGAGCTATAATCGAATATTCAGAATTGGACATGGTATGTTATATGCTGGATCTTTATTTGATGGTTGTAGCTTTCCTATTTGTTCTCTTTTTCTGTATTAGTGTTGAAATCTTCTATCATTAGATGTGTTGATTCTTGTAACACTATTTTCCTTTTGTTAAAGGTCTGGCATCGTGTTCCTCCCTGAAAGAGTTATACTTGGCAGGAAATAAAATAAGCGAGGTAGAGGGTCTCCACCGATTGTTGAAACTGACCGTGCTGGATCTGTGTTTCAACAAAATCTCTACGGCCAAGTGCCTGGGCCAACTTGCAGCCAACTACAGTTCCTTGCAAGCCATCAGCTTGGAAGGAAATCCAGCCCAGAAAAATGTTGGAGATGAACAACTCAAGAAATATCTGCAAGGCCTTCTCCCCCATCTGTTTTACTTCAATAGGCAGTCAATTAAAGGCAGCACTTTGAAAGATGGCGCTGATCGATCAGTTAGGCTAAGCAGCCATCAATTTGATCGTGGCCTCAGGTCAGAGAACAAATCCTTAAGAAAGGTTAGCCATGGTCTAGCTGGTTCAAGGCCATTACCTTCATCAACTCATGCTCGTAAAAATCAGCATGCGATCTCATCTAAACGGTCAAGTGGGAGGCATCTCCTTCCACGACCAAGTGGAACCCTAGCAACTATGGGCCATCGTCATCATTTCATTGATCTTGGTAGCAAACTCCAGAACTTTAGATCAGAGTTCTTAGTTCATAGGAGTCGAAGTGAGGGGACTCTGGGAGCTATCTAGGAGATTTTCTATTATGCTTTCCAAAGTCTGGTCGGTATGTTACTTTGTTTGGATTTGTGGTTTTCTGTCAGTGTTTTGTCACTCAAGCTTGTTGGTGCACTAGAATTATCTTGTGCCGTTGCAAGTCGATATCATAAATGATCTGTTAACATTGAGTTCACCTCTTTGTTTAGAACAACTTGTGTTTACCCTCCTATATAAATGTTTTCCCCGCTGTTCATGGGTGCTATTCTGCGTGATATTTCCTTTCCTCAATGAATTTGGTCCCATCAAGTTACACGAGAATCTGAGAGGTCGATGAACTTTGATTGGTTCGGCCTTCGGAGGTTGTCGTTTCTATTTGCAAGTCCTCAAAGGTGTTCCCTTCATGCAGAAACCTTGTGTTATGGTTAAACTTTACTGTCGACCAATTTTGATAAGTTGGTATGAATCTCCTTTACTATAATTTACAGTTTAAACACGAGTTATTGAGATTGTTGTAAAAGGACCAGCCTCTTAATAGAAAGGTTTACGAGAATTAAATTGCAACTTGAAAATGCAATTGATGTCGTGGAAAACAGAGGGCAATTTTACATTTTATGGAGTTACAAGGACAAATAACTGGGAAAAAAAAAGGTTTGTCTGCCTAGTCTTTCTGCAAGTTCCATAGCCATGATAATTTTCTATCTGTCTAATTTGTCTAACTTGATGCTTCTTCAGCCAAATATTATAGAAGCACTTTCAAACGCAGTAAGAGAGGTTTCCTCTCTGAGAGACATGTTTTTTGGAAGAAAAAATAAAGAGCACATATTTTTCAAATACAAAAAGAAAAGGGAGGGAGGCAAAAGATGTCAAGAAACCAGAAAAAAGCTTAGTATGAAACTTTTTAAATTTGTATAACTCCAAATAAGACATTGAAATGCTAAAAAACAATTAACATTCTCTGAGAAACTGGATGAACATGATATGTAACTAACAATACATCGTATTTGAAAACATGCAGTTCCCAATGAATTGTAAAGAAACTAGACAGAAAGCAATATTGTTCCGCCCATCGATATCTATATGTACAAGACAAGCAACCTAGTCCACGCTCCAACAATGAAATTTACGTCAAATCCTAGAACTTCTTGACAATCCACAGCCTTCACCTATTTTGAGGCCTTAAGTTGTTAGCTGCAAAACAAGACATGTGTATCAGATTTAGCCAATAGATCACAGTAAACTCAGGCATCTTAGTGAGGACAAAACTACCAATGAGGAAATCAAATAAAATGCATAATTCTCATACAAAAATCTGAACATTGCACATTTTACATAAAAACACAAAGAAAAATAAATAATAAATAAATAAATCATTTCCGGTAGAACTATGTGCTACATGCGATCAAACAGAATTTGATCTACATAATATAATATAGTAAGGATCAAAACCTGGAAACATCTTAATCTAAAGATTAAACCTCAAAAACTCCTACTTGTCACACAAATAATAATAATAATAAATAAATAAATCGGTTCCTGTAGAACTATGTGCTACATGTGATCAAACAGAATTTGATCTACATAATATAATATACTAACGATCAAAAGCTGGAAACATCTTAATCTAAAGATTAAACCTTAACAACTCCAACTTGTCATCGAAATTAAACATTTTTCTCCTTTGTTAAAAAACAAGGGCGAGTGCATCAAGATTTACAAAGACAAACTACGTGCAATTAAGCCTCACCTGAATTCAGGGGAGCTTGCGATTACGCCGTGCACTTTTTAAGCATCTGTTACAAGAGAGGTTAAGAGTTATACAATCATGACCAATTCATAAACTTGGTAAGAAGTCAGACATCAGGAAACAAAGGTACTACCAAGCGAGCAAAACATACAGTTAAGAACAAATAAATTCACCATGTTATTAATAGAAACATGAGAGCATCAAAGCATGTCAAATGTCCCAATTCTCATGCTAGATGTGCCAAAAAACAGAAAACCTAGGACTCAAGCACCAATACAGTCCACATATGTTCTAAACTATCAGATAAGACACATTAGCAATGTTCAATTTAAAAAGCAGCAGCGAGAAGAGAAAGAACAAGGGCATCTGGCAATTTCCTGCTCAAAATAGAATATAGATCTACTTGATCTTAGACAAGTATAAAAACTGTTTGCTCATCCCGCCCCAAGCAGAGATCAGTTAGCCTATTACTCTCCCTTTCCTATATCCTATCCCTTGGCCTACCACAAAGGTACCAAAGCTTTATCCCTAATCAGCCCATTCCTCATAACGGAACTGCTAGGCAAGGGTACCCACTGTACTAGCCAACACAACACCCCCATAAACAAACTGCAAAAGCATCTATCAGTTCAGAAACTCTAAATATTCAACAAACCTCTACTAAGATTTCTGTTTCAAAAAAAAAAAAAACTTTATTCCCTGAAGAATTTTGGATGACAGATTTTCCTTTTTCTGAAAACCAAAAAATTCAATGGCAAAGACATAAAGCCTCCATAATTCAAGTATTACCAACCAATACAAAGGAGAGCTATTTCTGTTAGAGACTAATATAAATTATATTCTAGAGCCTCACTTATAAGTTTAAGCTTTTAGGTAAGATAATCCTTTAATATGGTATCGGAGCTTGGTTGACCTCGAGGTCCCGAGTTCAAGTCTCATAATCTCCAATTTCTCAAGTATTAAGCACAAGCGCAATGTAAACCCGTGCAAGTTTCATGCTCCAAATGTTGAGCCTTTCACTTGAGTAGGTGTTTTAGAGATTAATATAAATTATATTTTAGGGCCTCACCTATCAGCTTAACCTTTTAGGTGAGATGGTCCTTTAATAATTTCTTCTCCCTCTACTCGTCTTGAAGCCAGAAATAGCATCAAATCATAATAAGCATTAATACTCCATCCCATTTTTTCCCCTAGTCTTTCAAGGGAACCATACAATAGAAAGACTCCATTACACCTACACTACAACGCAATCACCCAAACCAAACTAAAATTCACAAACAACAACCAAAAAGAAATTTTCTCTACTTAACATCGCTAGCATCAAAAGAAAGACCCTAAAATTGCCAAACCATAGCAAGCGTACAAACCAAAACATAATAACAAACACATACAGCCCCTCTAATCAAACCAATCACCTAACAAAAAATTTCCCAAATAAACACAAAACCCACATCACAAAATTAAAATTCCATCATTTCAAACCCAAAAAAAAAAAAAAAAACTACAAAAAAGTTCAAAAGAGCAAACCTTTCAGCTCATCATCAACACACTCCTCTTGATCCTCCTCAGGCACAGGATGAAGACCTTCCTCTACCTCCTCACCAACATCTCCTCTTTTCACACTCACTTCTTCTTTACCATCATCACTACACCTAACAACAACAACAGGACAAACACAATGCTGCACACAATAATCACTAACACTCCCTAACCTCCCACCACCAACACTTCCTCCTTTACCACTTCCCTTCTTTCTTGTAGCACCAAAACCTCTACTTCCCATTATCACAGCACTTAACCCCAACCTCTCAACTTCCAAACAAAGCCTCTCTTTCATGTCATGATCCTTCACTATATGAATCTTGAAAGGAACGTTAGCCTCCAACAACGGCTTAGCTAACAAATTGGCTTTGTTATTGGTAAAACTATCATAATCATCCTCAAGTTTCTGCCTTTCTTGATCATCAGGACTGTTTAACGCATCTTGCTCAAAAGGGGTGTTGTTGCTATTGATTTGGCGTTGAATTGACCCCCAATCAGCGCCGTAGAGCACGGAGGTTGGCCGCACGTGGAGGAGTATCACGGCGTCGCCTGGTCGGAGGTAGTTCCGTACTGCCCATTTGACTGCATATGCACTCTCGTCGGAAAGGTCCACCGCTATGGCGACACGGCGGTTGGAGACGGTGGTGGGGCTGTTAGAGGAGTGGGGGCGGGAAAGGGTGGGCAGTGGTGGTACTGGGAGGTCCGGTTCAGATTTGCAAGGTTGTTTTGAGCTCATTTTGATCAAAGAAATGGAAACTTCTTATTCCTTTTCGGCTTATCGACTTTTGACTTTGGAGGGAAGGGGAAATTTATGGTTACGGTTCCCTTTTATTTATAGAGACTCTTGACGTGTTCGCTCTTGCTAGATTGTTGAAGCTTTTACGAAGAGGCTGAAGTTTCGGATATTTTTATCGGTACCGATGAGATCAATTAAATTATTTTTTTTTTATGTTATCATAGAAAAATTAGAGTAAAGAAATTTACGATAACTGATTTTTCAATGAGTAATTATTGAAATTATATATATCGAGCCCTTATTTTTTGATGAATAAGTATTTATATCTTGTCGTAAAAAAAAGACTGATTTTTAATATTTTCACACTGTTTAGAAAGTAATTAATTATTATATTATATTAGTATTTTTTATATTTTTTAAAAAATATTTTTTGTTAATATTATTATTTATCAGATTTAATTCTAAACAATATTGACTTAAGGGGAGGATTTATCCAAATTAAAGTGGTAAATTAAAAAAAATAAATTAATTAATGATTAAATTGAAAACAATTATTAAAAAAGTATATTAATATAAATATTTTACTCTTAAAATTTTGGTATGTGGTAAAGTTTCTATAAAAAAATATTTTTTTCCTTTTAAATTCTTATGCTATAGGTATTTGTATGTATAATAAAAATGTATAAAGATATTGATTTTTTATTAGTGAAAAACACGGAAAAAAAATTGATTTTGTTTATTAATTAAAAATATTTTGAAAATATATATTATTTAAAGTTTTGATCGATAAATATGTTGGGACGTATATTAATAAATAAAAGGACAATATTTTTTAAACACGGAGAGTAATTTCCAATGAGGTTAACAGTCTCATATAAGAATTTTTTTAAAAAATAATTATTTTTGGTGTTGGAGGAGTATTTAAGGCAAACTCTCTCTATATGAAATAATATTTCAACTTGACTACGAAGAATAGACCAATAATCAAGATAATCTATTTTAATATTAAATTTTCCATGGTTTTAAAATTTTTTATAGTTTTTAAATTTTTTATTTGGTGGTAGTTCTTCAACTGATTATAGTAATACCTTTGGATTAGGATGAGTCTAAATGTCTTATTTTATGATACTAATAATATGTCATGTGATTTCCAAGTGATTTTTTTTCCTTACTCGAATGAGTAAAATAGTAATATATAATAATAAAACAAATTATTTAACAATGTTAAGTACTGAGGTAAATTAATAGCCATCCGCAGAGGGAAGGTGTTTTTTTCCAATTTGAATGGCTACAATATTCTTGTTGTAATAAAAAAAAATGTATAAATAGTTTTATTTCTAAGTAAAATTTGGTTTTAAATAATTCAGCATAATGTATTCCATCTTTTCTTTATGGTACAAACTTAAATAATAATAGTAATAACAATAAGTATTTATGGTACAATATAAAAAAAATAATAACAATAAATATGAATTTAATGATATTTGTTTTAAAATCAACAATTATAATCTGAAAAATTGTTGTGTATGGCTTGAATTTTATAAGCCAATAATATATTTAGCACATTAGGCTTTTTTTCCTTTATATGAATAAGGTATTTAAATTTCCTTATGTCTCGGTTTAGGAAATAGAGCGAAAGACGGAGATTTTATATTGAATCTCCGGGGTTCTTGTATTCTCCTACTATGAAGCTAATAAAGCTTCATTCTCGTCCGTGGAGTAGGTAATTTGTCGAACCACGTAAATCCCGTGTATTGATGATTTATTTCGCTTTATTTTTTAATTATTACTTGTCATTACTTGTTTTATTTTCGTTGTTTGTCATCATAATAATTATTTTCTTAAATTATTGAAAAATATGATAATGATTGTTCCTCAAGTTTTCAGTTTTTATTGTCTTATTTGAGTTTATTTTATTATAGGGATAGTAAGTAATTAATACGAACCTAACACATCTAATTTCTAAGTTTTGAGTCATTAACATTTGACCAATGTTTTATATATAGTGTCTTATTAGTTTTTTTTTTTTTTTTTGGTTTTACCTAAATATATTCTCATCCCATGTTAGAGATATGACTAATTTTATTTAGAAAAAAGAACAATAAGATTTAAATTCATTCCATGAGTACAATTTTAATATTCAAACTTTGCATATTAATATACAAATTTGCTTGAAAATTAGTTTGCTTACCACTAGAAAAATAAATTTTGTTTTGTATATTTGACTAACAGGGTTAATTTTAATTTATCCTTCTCGAGTTTGAGGCAAATCCAGTTTTTCCCTCATGAGATTTAGATTGTAGCAATGTCTCATTTGAGGTTTTGATCACGAATGTTTCCTTTCAACCTACCAAAACCAATATAAAAATATTTTTTCAATCCCTAAACTTATAAAAAATTTGATTAAATAGAACTCTCTTAAAATAATTTAATGAGACCTAATCTACTACTCAATTGAAAGATTCAAATGATACCATGTACATTATAAATATTTAAAAATATAAGATAAAAAATAAGAATTTATCTTTCTTTTAATATGGTTTATATTGAAAATAGAGAAAAAAACATAAAATATGTTGAAATTAGGAAAATGTTAAATCAACAAAACTCCAAAAGATTAAAACCTTACAATTAAGTCTAATGGCCAAGGATAAACAACTTTTGTACTGTTACAAGGATATAATCATTAAGTACAAAAGCAACAATATATTTGATAAAATCAATTAATGTTGACGCTCAAACTTTATGCAACATTTGACTCGTCAAATAAAAACATATGTGTGTGTTTTTTCCGGTGAGCTCCATAGTTAAAATTTTCTTTTTACATATGATTTTTACCTTAATATATATTATACTGTTTTATTTATGATTTTTGTATTTATATTTTTAAATATAAATGATATGCGTGACATCATTTTGACATTTTAATTGAAAATTTATCTCATCATATTATTTGTAAAAATTTCTATTTTATCGAATTTCAAAAGCTTAGGCATTGAAAAAAAGAATTGTTAGTTGATTGATTTGAAACTTCAAGGGAATATTGAAACAATCGAAATATTAGGAGGAAAAGCTGAAATTCACCCTAAGGGAGTAAATTGAAATTAATCGTAATTAATATGTGATCAAAATATATACTAATCAATATTAAAATTAATAGCACCCAACATTCTTTGTGAATTATTATTATAAGATTTCTACTACAAACCTCTATCTTATAGCCCAAAAACCCACAAGCTTCCGATAAATCAAAAAAATATTTCTATCACAAAACAATTTAACTTCAATTTGGTTTTCAGATATTTAAAATAATGTATACTATTAATAATTTTTTATACAAAAAATCTTAAATTAAAATTCTTTGGATATGTTATAAATAATTGTATTATCTATATACCTCAATATTCATACAAAATACTATAGTCTAATTGAATATTTTGATAGAGAAAATTGTAATTTCAGTGTCTAATTTTTTATTTTATTCTGTTTAAATTTTTTATTCTTTATTTTAGCTATTTGAAGGTTTGGACTTGCTTTTATTATAATCTAAAAAAATACTTCAAATTAAAGTGGAAAAAAAGAGACTAGTACAGTGAAAATGTTTTTTATTCTAATATATTAATACACAAGTGTTTTTTTTTTTTATGTAAGCCATCATCATCGATTTTATTGAAATATTAATATATTTTATGTTCCTTTTTAAAATAATCCTTTTACAATTCAGATACTAATAACTTTGGCTTGTATGTTTTAGTTTTTGTCTGACCACAACAAAAAAGAAGAAAAAACCTACAGCTAACATAAATTGAATATTTGCACCCAAGACAAAAAAATAAAAAAAATAAAAAAATAAAAAAATCTCCATTTACATAGAATTGATTTTGTTTCCAAAACTAACGTGGATCCCCACTAAATTGCAAATCTAACTTTTATAGACAGATTTTTAGAATCTCTGTTTTTTTTTAAAAAAAAAAAAACTATTTTTGGGGGAAATTTTTCTGATATGTATATCCCAGTTAAAAGAGGATTATAATTTTTTTAAAAGATTCTCAAAGTATCTCGGACCCAAAACCCAAACTAATCTCTCGATATTCGATCGGACATACAAGACAGGTATAATTATCTAAAAGGTTTTCTGTATATATAAATATTCGAATTTGAAATCATTTAGTTAAACGACTAAAATTCTTTCTATTAAGTCCAACCCTTTTGGGTAAAAGAGGATTATAATTATAATTGAGTCAAAATTATTTTTTACATGTGGACCAATCAATGAAAATTCAAATTTAGTCAAAGTTATTTTCATATATATATATATATGATTTCTGTTAAAGTGTCAATTTATAATCTGAAATCCATAATCAATATTATCTATGGAATTAATTTCAAAAAATTACAAAAAAAAAAAACAAAAACAAAAAGAAGGCAGAAGAATTTTTTCTAGAATATATATATATATATAAAGATTATACTGCTTGATTCTCAAGGCAAGCAGTGTAACGATCAAGTGGTTTTGTCATCCATGCGTGACCCACCGATGCCTCTAAATGAATTGGCTTCTCTCTTCCATTATTGTAAGGTAACCCAAAGCTATTAAGATATGTGTCTATTTGGCAGGTTTGTGTGCATCCCTCACTTCAATTCTTGTACCAAAATGGTGTCTTTTTCAAGAACTCGTTATCCCGATCATGACATATATATATATATCAAAAGGGTTAAGTTTGTTTGCTTTCTTTTTATCTTTTTTAATTTAAATTTTAAAATCAGTATACAGAAAAATTTGCTTATCTGCATGTTTTTAGTCAATATAAACTCATAAAATCGATAAGAAAAAAAAATTTAACTTTATTACAAGATAAATTGATTCGAAGATATCTTTCAAATCGTATCTAAAAGATAATATATGTTTTGTCTGAGTTGAAGTTGTAAGTATGTATGGGTCGATGAAGAAAAGCTATCTTTCAATTCTAAGTTGTCTTAAATTTGGTGGCTAAATCTCATTATCAAAACAAGAAAACAGAAAAGAAGAAAAGCATTCTTGAGTAAATTATAAATTAGTCCCTTTAGTTTCACGAACTAAATTAATTAATCCTTTTGTTTTAAAAAATAATTATTTAGTTTCTATGTTTCTATATGAGTTGGCTTCTCTCTTCCATTATTATAAGGTAGCCCAAAGCTATTAAGATATGTGTCTATTTGGCAGGTCTGTGTGCATTCCTCACTTCACTTCTTGTACCAAAATGGTGTCCTTTTCAAAAAGTCATTATCCCAATTATGATATATATAATTCAAAAGGGTTAAGTTTGCTTGTTTTCTTTTTTGATTTTTTAATTCAAAAATTTGAGTCACTGTGCAAAAAAATTTGCTCATTTGAATGTTCTAATTCAACATAAAAAGTAAACTCTTAAAATCGATAAAAAAAAAAAACTTAATTTTATTAAAAGATAAACTAATTCGAACATATACTTCGGATTCTATCTAAAAGATAAAATATATTTTGTCACAGTTGGTGTTACTTCCAATTCTAAGTTGTCTTAAATTTGGTGGCTAAATCTCATTATCAAAAAAAAAAAAGAAGAAGAAGAAGAAGAAGAAAAGCATTCCTGAGTAAATTATAAATTAATCCCTTTAGTTTAAAGAAATGAATTAATTGATCCTCTTATTTTAAAAAATAATTATTTAGGCTCTACACTTTTAAATTTACTTATAACTTAATTTTTTTTCTTTTTTTAATTTTTTTAAGAAATAGAAAAGAAAAAAATAGAAAAATTGATGAGAAAATAAGATGTTTTATATAATAAAAATAATATTAATTAAATATGATCAACAGTAGTCAAATGGCTAAATAATTATTTTTGAAACCAAAAGGATGAATTAATTCATTTCTTGAAACTAGAGGAAGTAATTTATGTAGTTTATTATTATTATTTTTTTGATAGACAACAAACACTAAATATTCCTTAAAGTCAAGTCAAGAGATCTAATTGTTCTGTATGCTTACCACATATACCAACAACCCAAAGATTAGTGCTCTTCTTGTTCTTTTGTAATTGAAAAGAACCATACAAGAAAAGTGAGCAAAAGTGAGAGGAAAAGGATGGACATTAACTCCAAATGGGCCAAAAAGTATGTCATTTTGTATGTGAGTCATGTTTGAGGATGGAGACACGAGCCATGTTTGGGGTAGAGCAGAGAGAGAGAGCTATCAAAAAGTATCAAATCATTTAGCTGTAAAAATAGCTGTAAATTGTCCATATTTGATGGCCATTGTTTTCCAGCTTCTCTCTCTTTTCAAGTGATCATAGACAGTGCCTAAACATAAGACAAAACCAAGATCATTCTACGGTTCTAATTGAGAAGTTACCTTATCCTTTCGAGTTGATTGCCGATATTCCCAACTCTATAGTTCTAAATAACAACTGTTATAACGATCGTTATTTAATATACGATTTTTATTTAATGAATTTGAATATTACTTGTTATCATAACATGTCGTTATAGAAAATATAATGACATTTCATACAACTAACACATCATATGTTTTTGTCATTTTTTAATGAATAACGATCTTTATATTAAATTAAAAATTAATTCTTTATATAGCATAACAACCGCTCTATAATGTATGGTTGTAATTTAATAAATTTAAATATTACTTGTTATCATTATATGTCGTTATAAAAAATGTAATGAAATTTCATGCAACTAACACATCATAGATCTTTGTCATTATTTGATGAATAACGGCTATCATATTAAAAAAAATTGATTGTTTTTATTATTGTTTGTGTAATATTAAACTATTAGAAGTGTTATTAATTTTTTTTATACATATAATAAATTCAATTATTGTTGTATGATATTAAATTATTAAAGATATTATTATGCTTAATTAGTAAAATTATTCAAAAAATATGAAATAGAATAAATTTATTAATAACGACTAGCTTGTTAATGCATTCACAACATTGAACACCGTAATTGTTATTTTACTATCACTATCCATAATCGTAATCGCAACTAGTTTTACAATCAAATCTGTTATTCAAAATTATACTCGAATCATATTTCGTATAATAAGACTAAACCTATTTCTCTAATCTAATTAGTGATAAAACATAAACAACAGAACATGGGCAAGTAGTTCATGAGAATTATACTTATTACAACGTAATATAAGATTTGATATTTGGTGACTAAGAAAGGATCTTATCCTCTCTTCATAAAAGGATGGATAGACTGATCTGAAAATTTGAAGGCAGTAAGAATTTCATTCCATGAAAGTCCAAAGTCCCACTAGATAAGGACTGAAGTCATAACCTGAGACAAATTAAAACTGTCGAATATAAGCCAACAAAAAAATTATACATAGATCAATATATTAAGCCCTAAGAAACCAACTCTTACGATGGTGCCTCGTAAATGGAGCATTTGACACCGATGATTGATGCTGTTATGGCTATCAAAACCGTGACCATCGGCCACTAGGTTCCACCACCACTTAGCCACCTAGGCTCGATCATCAGCCTGTAGGTTCCATCACCATGAAGCAACCTCTTGGCCTCCCTAGGCTCGACAATGGAGAGTGGATGAGACCGGCACCTCCATAGCCCAGCCACCGTGAGTTGCATGAAATAAACCCAAGCTAAACCTATAAAAGAGTAACAAAACTTTCGGATTTTCGATTCTCTAGGAGGTTTAATTGTTTAATTTTGGTTCGAAAGGGTGCTTGCGGATCTAACAAGTCAATTGAGACTAAAAATCCTCTCCAAACGATCATAAAAGAGCACCTCCACACTAGCCTAGTACATTTAAGAAAATAAATTTTAACCTCTAGACTTGAAGTTTAGGAAGGAAACAAACCTGTTTAACCACCTGGGATACCCCTTAAGAGTCAAGGATGCTTATTGCCTAACAAGTAGCTCAAGGAAGCAACGTCAAACATTTAAGCCTTTGCAGCTAACGTCTACAAGCCATGCGAGACCCTGCTGCTTCCTCCAAGAAAGACAAGAAACTACAGACCAAAGCATCTAACGTCTGTACACTGCTAAGCTGTTCACGTAAAGTCTATGGACCCTAAACTAGAGGCATAAAAACCATTTCGGTTTTGCTCCGTACAGAATACAAAGCCAATTCAATTTCAAATACCAAGTACAACATTAACGCAAAAGACAACCCAGTAAGAGAACATTAATTTGGGAAGGAAAACCCGGATTGTTAACATATAATTTGCAATATAAAACTTAAAACAAGATATAACAATTCTAGTGCACAAACGTCTCGAGTTAGCAACTGCCTTATTGTGACAAATAGTACCAAGATAGAAAACCACACAACCAAACAAAGTAATGTACCAACCATGCTCTTGAAAGAATAATAGAAAACCTCAGAAAGCTCTCAGAGTTCCCTCACTTCGACTCCTGTGAAATGAGAACTCCGATCCAAAGTTGAGTTTGCTACCAAGATCAACATGATGATGATAATGATGGCGATGACTTGTTGCTTTCGCTCCATTTGGTGGCAAACGGAGATGCCTGCCCCTGGACCGTTTAGGTGAGATCACAGCTTGACTTTTACGAGCATGAGTTGATGAAGATGATGGCCTTGCACCAACTAGACTATGGCTAGCCTTTCTTGCAGCTTTGTTCTCTGACCTGAGGCCACGATCAAATTGATGGGAGCTGATGCCTAGCCTAACTGACCGGTCTGCTGCGTCTTTCAATGTGCTGGATTTGATTGGCTGCCTGTTGAAGTAGACCAGATGGGGGAGAAGGCCTTGCAGATATTTCTTGAGTTGTTCATCTCCAACATTTTTCTGGGCTGGATTTCCTTCCAAGCTTATGGCTTGCAAGGATTTGTAGTTAGCCGCAAGTTGACCAAGACATTTGGCAGTAGAGATTTTGTTGAAACGCAGATCCAGTACAGTCAGTTTCAACAAACGATGGAGACCCTCTACCTCACTTATTTTATTTCCCGCCAAGTATAGCTCTTTCAGAGAGGAACAAGATGCCAAACCTTTAATGAAGGAAAGCAAATCATTACAACAATTAACATAATCAATGTCTATAGATTTGGACAGTTGAAGGGGAAACGAGGACAAAAGGGAAAGCTACAACCATTAAACACAATGCATATGACATACCATGTCCAATTCTGAATATTCTATTGTAGCTCAAGTCCAGTACACGAAGTCGAGTAAGCTCGCGTAAACCCTCAATAGAAGAAATACTGTTCTTTGACAAATTCAACATATGCAGTCCTCGAGGGAGGGCACCAGCAGTAATTCTCACTTCATGGGTGTAAGAGAAAAATAAACAATTTCTCATGAGTTCAAGAATATTTCAACAAGGCACATAAAAAAGAAGGCAAGAATAAACCATGGTAAAGTTTGAGATGTGAACCTATAGAGTTCCCCGATAAATTAAGCACCCTCATGCTGCCAAACGCACAAAGAAATGGGATCACTGCCAATCCAAGGTTTGACAGATGAGCTGTGGTAGCAGAGACACTCAAAGAAGAGATGCATCTTTTAGCAGCTTCCATACCAGGAGTGACCTTATTATCAACCTTTGCAGTAGCGAGATCGTCGGAATCTCCATCAACGAGGCCATCAGTAGAAGGCAATTCATTTGTCTCTTCCAATGAACTATAGTGTTGAAGATTGTTTACCCAATCCTCGATACGCTTCATTTTAAAATCCTTACTTGGTAATTCTCCCCACTGCTGAATGGAGGATTCTCCTTGGAGATTTTTTGGCATGTTTACTTCATCCACAACTGGCATTATCCAGTCCTTTGCCATAGCTGAGTAATTATAAGAATCAAAACCTTCATGAAGACAACCTTCAAAATTGTTTTCCTCACTTTTAGGGTCATTATCATCCCTTTCTTGTTTTCCCATTTTGTGAGTTTCATCCCCATGAACTGAAATCGTTTTCCACCTCATATCTAGAGCATGTAGGTCCTCTGAAGATCTAGACTGAGGGGCTAAATACTCACAAGTTTGTCCACGGGAAGTCGGTGAGAAAATGCCCATGTCTTGATATGAGAATGATTTTGCAATCATGGGAGGGCTGCAAGGCGACTGGTGACCTGATACATCACCACCCTCACCAGATAATTGGGTATCAGAAATTTCAGGTCCTTCCTTTTCGGACTGCTGAGGATTGCCAATTGAGAAGATGCATTCCTTGTCAAAATCAGAACTCATGTGAACAGACTCTGGTTGCAATTCTTTCTCGTGATCGCTAGCTGGGCTCAATCCTGTATCCTCAGTATCATTTTCACAATGAATCATTCCCTCGTGGCATAATTCACTTCCTACAGACAGACTTTTCCTAATAAGCCTTGTCTGATGGATTCCTGTGTCATTCTTGGAATCCATTTTGTCCTCAATTTTGTCTGATTTCCAGCTTTGTTCAACAGATACAGGGTTTATAACATCCCTGACACCATTACTAATTCCAGTGTCTGCTTGTGCCTTCGGAAGTATCAAACTTGTAGCTTTGGTCAATGTCTTAGTAGCTTGAATTTGAGAAACATCTTCTAAATTCTTATGCATTGCTTCAACAGAAGGTTCGGCTGTTTTCTGAAGGAGGAAAGAAAACTTTAATCAGAAAAAAGCCATGCAAGGCAAGAAGAAAGATATTAACTCCAAATCAGTGGTTCCTCAACTTACCTTTGGTTTGTAAGAAGGGATGTGAGCAATGAAGCATGAAAACCTAACCATTGCAGCAATACGACCACAAGTTACATCCTCAAATGACCTTAAACTTGAATTACATAAAGACCGCTACAGGCAAACAACTATACTATTCTGCTTCTAACTTCCAGACTTCAGGAGCCCAAAACAAATACCTGACTTTGCAAACTGAAAATATCCAACTACCATCAAGCTTCCAGAAACCTAGCAAACCTTAGCCATAATCAAGAGACAAGCCCTCTGAAATGCGGCAGAGTCGCCAAACATGAGAGGATCTTGATCTCCTTAAAACACAAAGCAATATCACACCCTCGCAATCACCCCACACCCTCCTAGAGGTGCGGGAATACTTTAAATTTGTTGCAGCGGCCAGAGTGAACCAAAATCTTTGCCAATTAGGAAATCCCAATTCCTAACATATATAAGGGATGCTGGCCTGAAAATAAGGAAAAATTAAGTAAAACACTTGTCCTTCACCATTAAACAATAAACCTAATGCAAAATAACAAAGGGAAAACCTAATTCGTAACTGTAATACAATAGATAGCCATGATGATCAGAAAAAACTCAACTTCCACATTATAATTGTTACAGTCAAAACAAGCAAATATAAGGGAAAAAAAAAATTACTCCAACAAGAAAACAGAAAGCGTCCATCTAAAGAAGCTTTCTTCAGCAGGCTATATGTTATATAGTTACAATCCCTTAAAAACTAACCAGAAAAGAACAATCACAAAATAACCAATGCAGCAGCCAATAAACTTGAGCCCATATTAAAAGATTTCTTTACCCCCATTGAGATTTCAATCCGGCTGTCAAAATTTCTTGTTTTTCCCCTCAGCAAACAACCATAGCAAATTTCAATTTTAACCCAACAAATTGCTGATGTTCAAATTAACAATAGATCAATCTGTGCTTAAAAAAATAAAAAATAAGTATTTCCAACATATTCAATAATGCAAAATTATTAATCCACAATTAACTTTAGCTCAAAAACAAGCAAAAAGAATTCATTGTCTCAAATAAAAACAAAAAAACAAACCCATCTCCACAAAAATTGTAAACTATATGCATCAAAACCAACAAAAAGAAAAGGAACCCATTCTGAAAAAATCAAAAACAAAAGCAATTAACAGAGAGAAAATAAAAAAAGAGTAGAAAGACCTTACCTTTCTCTAGCCGGGTTTTGATAAAAGACTGTTATTAGAGAAAAGCTTCCTTTTTTCTTTTTCCTTCAGCTAACAAAATAAGACAGAATGGGTTTATTTCTGTGGTCAATAAAAAAAATCTAAAATATTTATCCTGTTTTATACTTTGGGGAGAGTGAGAGAAGGAGGTTTGTTCGAAAGGAGCGGCTATGGAAGCTTGGAACTTTTCTAGGCTAACCCTAACTTTTCTTGTCTTTTGATTTTTACAGTAAATTATAAATTAATCACTCTATTTTTCAGAAAAGAGTTAGTTATTCTTTTTTTTTCAAAAACTAATTATTTAATTTTTTTCCCTATAATTAACCATATTTAATTTAATATTATTTTATTCATCTTTGAATATTTTTTAGTTATATTTTTTATTTCTTTATTTTTTTAACAAAGAATCAAAATAAATTAAAAATAATTAAGTTACAATAAAATTTAAAAATATAAAATTAAATAGTTAATTTTTAAAATAAAAATAAGTAATTAATTAATTTTTTGAAACTGAAGGGCTTGATTTATAATTTATTCTTGCTTTTCACTGTGGGTTTTTTATAAGGCAAAAAAAAAAAAGTGCTAATTCAATTATTTTTTAACATAAATAAAAAAATGTGGATAGGACAAAGGCAAATATTTGAATTGCAATATATTCACGTGATTTTCTTGATTTTCTCGATATACTCTCGCATTATTTTATTTATTTTAATATTTTTAATAATTTGTTTTGGATCGTTGAAACGTTATTATATAGTTAAATTAAAGTTTTATATTTTTCAAATCAAACTGTAGGAGTATTTTGGACATCTAAAACTAAGAATCTATTTGATGACCCATTTAATTAGCTTAAAAAATTAAATTATACTACTTAATATAAAAAGTTTATTTGATAATCTCAATAATCTCATTTTTAAATTTTAAATTCAGTCAAAATCTACTTAATTAAATAAATTAAAATTTTTAACTTATTACTTTTTTTATTAACACGTCCAAGTTGGATAATTTTTAAAACTTTTTAAATATGATTATAATACCCTCATATATTTTTATAACTTTAGTTATACAAACCAATTGAAAAATAATCTCTACTATCATATTGTTAAAACAAAGAAAACTTTCTTTATTATCAATGCTTCCATCTTATCATAATCAATAAGCTAATAGAAATATGAGACTCCAAAATCTAATCCCAAGCAATTTTTCTTGGAATGTACCTCATCTTCAAGCTCGTTGAACGTGTTCCAAAGGAGCCAACTTGCTTCCTCAGTATTTGAGAACCAACTAAATAGGAGGTCATACATATATCGGGATATTAGCTTGGAACGTGAACAAGAGATGGTATATCATTGAACTCTAATTCTGGCAGGGAACGCAGGGACAGTAAAGATTTTTCTTCTAAAAAATTTTCAATGCGACCCCTTGTACTGCGTGGTAATATGAAACAGCAACTGCACAAGTAAAAAATAAACATCCTTCTATGCCACAACTTTTGGCCACATCCAGAACCCATGGTAGAATTGAGTCGTATATGAGAAATTTAACTGGGTATTGCGTTGTACTACTTTCGTTAATGAGCTCTGCTAACCTTTGTGGGATTGTTGCCTTGAAACGCTCGACATATTCATCTGGGGAAGCTGCCCTTTCACATTCTTTGAAACCATAAAAAACGGGTTGAATATAGATGCAATCACGAACTGGTCAAACATTTATAATTAATTTATAAATATATTAAATAGTATTTGAGATTTTATTTATTTTGTGCATGATATTACAATTAATGTTATCTTAGATCGTATTTTATTTTTTGTTAATAATTATTTTTATTGAATATTTATTTATTTATACACACGACTATATTTATGTATATATTTTTATTTGTATTAAAAAATATCATGTTACAATTACAAGGTTAAAATTGTCACGTATATAGCTTTAGTATATTCAGTAGTAGTATTTATCAAACAATCTTATGATATTTAGTACTTAATTTTCGGTAAATATCAAACAACTCGCCAACTTAAAATTCAATACTTAATTATTCGAGTACTTAAAATTCAGTATTTAATAGATTCAAGCACTTAATTTTCAGTTTTATCAAACACCACCTAATTTTTTTAATTTCAAAAAAAAAAGAGAAATTTTTATTTTATTTTTTGTCCAGTTAAATATGGGTCATCCATGTCATCGTTCTGATGGCTTTTTCTGACATGATATTAACAGTAAATTTTCATGTTATTCTTAGATTGATGAATATGAGATTTGAGCTTAAAAAATCTAGAAAAAGAACAAATATTCATTACCACCAAACTAAATCCTTGAGTTTACTTAAATGTTTGATAATTCATTGTTTTAATGTTTGAATTAAAATTACAATCAACAACGTAACTTAAATTTAAAATTGTTATTGTTCAATGGGCCTCCAGCCCATTGGTAGTAGCCATGGCCAATTTTAGATCTTAATTTTTGTGTAATGGCTAGATTAGTTCTCTCTCGTGGTTGGTATTTGACTATTTCTTTCTCCTAACACTAACAGCTGCTCATAGTTTCATTTTAAAAAAAAAAAAAACTGAAGAAATGAATTATTTCATTGATAAAAAATTATTTTTTTAATTAATAGAAGTTAAAAAAAAAAAAAAAACTAAAACTAAAACTAAAACATTGCATAGTTTTTTTTATATATAAATAAATAGGAATACTACATAATTTAATGAATCCTTTAATTGATAAATATTTTTTTAAAAACAATATAACTAAAAAACAAGAATCAATACATTACATAACTGTTTTCTTTTTAAGTAAATAAAAATACTACATAATTTAATTAAGATCCATAAATACATTATTGATATTTTTGTCAATGAGATTCTTTTTTGTTGAAGTTAGATAATAATAAAAAACTGAAAAAAGATGAAGATATATATGACCATTCTTACTAAAGACTGAAAAAAAAAGGAGGAAAATTATCCCTTATGAGTTTATCTATATGATAATAGGAAGTAAAATTTGAGTATAACATAAAATATTTATAATATTTTTTTAAAAGCCATTATTTAAGTTTTTAAATTTTTGAAAAGTATTTATAATTTTAACCACTTTTGAGTGCTGTTTCCAAAATTCTTAACAAAATTTATATTTCCACTTTTAGTCAAATATTCTTGACCACCAAACTAAATCCTTGAGGTTGCTTAAATGTTTAATAATTCATTGTCATAAAGTTTGAATTAAAACTACAATCAATAATGTAACTTAAATTTAAAACTGTTATATTCAATGGGCCTTTGGCCCATAGATTAGTTCTCTCTCGTGGTGGGTATCAAGGTGACTATCCCTTCCTTCTAACACTAACAACTACCCATAGTTTCATATATATATATATATATTGAAGAAATGCTTTTTTTCATTGATAAAACATTATTTTTTTTAACTAATAGAAGTTAAAAAATAAAAAAATAAAATAAAGAATTGCATAGTTTTTTTTTTATATAAATAAATTGGAATATTATATAATTTAATGAATCCTTTAATTGATAAATAATTTTTTAAAACAATATAACTAAAAAACAAGAATCAATACATTACATAATTTTTTTAAAGTAAATAAAAATACTATATAATTTAATTAAGAACCATATATACAATATTGATATTTTTTTCAATAAGATATATATTTTTTTAATTTAGATAATAAAAAAAATAATAAAAAAGATGAAGATATATATGGTCTTTCTTACTAAATACTAAAAAAAGAAGAAGAAAAACTATCCTTTACGAATTTATCTATATGATAATAGGAAGCAAAATTTGAGTATAATATAAAATATTTATAATATATATTTTTAAATCATTATTTAAATGTTTAAATTTTTGAAAAGTATTTATAATTTTAACCATTTTGAGTGACATTTCCAAAAAATCTTAACAAAATCTATATTCCCACTTTTAGTCAAATATAAATTTTGCTTAGATTTTTTCAGAAATGTCACTCAAAAGTGGTTAAAAGATTATAAATATCATTCAAAAGTTAAAAATTTTAACTAATGATATTTTTAAAAAATAATATTAACATTTCTTTAATTT